GTATGTTTACTGTGTTCATGAAAGAAGGGATGGCATGTAAGGACTGACAGAGAACAAAGAGGAAAAGAGAAGAGGGAATAGGACATATAGGGGCATAAATACTGTACATACACCAAGTATACTAGGTAAAGTGAAAAAGTTAGGGGTGAACAAGAAAGTATGAATACAGAGGAACAAGGAGGATTTAGGAAGGTTAGGGAATATAGAGACCAAGTGTTTACAATGAAGAATGCAAGTGAACACCTAGATAAAGGCAAGGAACCCTTTGGTCACATGGATTTAGAAAAGAATATGATAGGGGGAATAAGGAAGAAATGTGGCAGATGTTTTCAATCTATGGAATATGTGGCAGATTACTAAAAGCAGCAAATTGTTATTATGAGCATAGTGAGGCTTAGGTTACGATATGCAGGAGAGACGGTGGGTAATTTTCTAGTAAATGTAGGTTTTATAGACAGGGATGTTTGATATCATCAATGTTACTTAATATATTTATAGATGGGGTTGTTAAAAAAGTGTCTGCTAGAGTGTTGGGAAAAGGTGTTAGATTAAAAGATAAAGAATCTGATACGAAATGAGGGTCATCACAGATGCTCTTTACTAATGTGAAGGTTGGTGCAGGCGTGTAAGAGAGCACGTAAGAGAGAAATTAAAAGTTCACACACAGGAAAGAGCAAGGTGATGAGAGTAACCAAAAAATTTAGGCAGGGAAAAGATCTGATGTGGAATTAGAGCAAAACTATGGAGAAAGTGAATGTATTTAGATACTTGGTAGTGGATGTGTCGGTAAATAGGACTGTGGAAGACGAGGTGAATCAGAGATGGTGTGTTGAGGTATCTATTGAAAGAACGTATGTCTATGGAGACAAAAAAAAAGGAATATACCAGGGTATACTGGTACCAACATTTATATTGAGGTCCGAAGTATAATGAACGTCGCAGCGAGGAGGAGGTTGCAGGCAGTGGAGATGCTGTTTCTGAGAGTAATGTGTGCTGTGAATATTATGCAGAGAATTAGGAATGTAGAAATTTGATAATAGTGTTGTGTTAGCGGAAATATAATTCGGATGGCTGAGGAAGGGTTGTTAATGTGGTCCCGACGTTTAGAGACGATGGAGTAGAATAGGATGAGCAAGAGGGTATTTAAATATGGGGTGGAAGGAAGGAAAGGGGACGTTCGGGAAATGAGTGAATTGAAAAGTCAGGTATGAAGAAGGTTTTAAGTGGTAGAGGCTTGGGCACTCAGCAGGCATATGTGATTTTGAGGATCAGATATATATATATATAATATATATATATATATATATATATATATATTATGAGTAGTAGGTTGGTAGACAGCAACCACCCAGGGAAGTACTACCGTCCTGCCAGATGACTGTGAAACAAAAACCTGTAACTGTTTTGCATGATGGTAGGATTGCTGGTTTCTTTTTCTGTCTCATAAACACGCTAAGATAACAGGGATATCTTGCTACTCCTACTTACACTTTGGTCACAATTCACAGACACGCACATGCATATATATATATACATACATCTAGGTTTTTCTCCTTTTTCTAAATAGCTCTTGCTCTTTTTTATTTCTTCTATTGTCCATGGGGAAGTGGAAAAGAATCTTTCCTCCGTAAGCCATGCGTGTCGTATGAGGCGACTAAAATGCCGGGAGCAATGGGCTAGTAACCCCTTCTCCTGTATACAATTACTAAAAAAGAGAAGAAGAAAAACTTTATAAAACTGGGTTGCTTAAATGTGCGTGGATGTAGTGCGGATGACAAGAAACAGATGATTGCTGATGTTATGAATGAAAAGAAGTTGGATGTCCTGGCCCTAAGCGAAACAAAGCTGAAGGGGGTAGGAGAGTTTCAGTGGGGGGAAATAAATGGGATTAAATCTGGAGTATCTGAGAGAGTTAGAGCAAAGGAAGGGGTAGCAGTAATGTTAAATGATCAGTTATGGAAGGAGAAAAGAGAATATGAATGTGTAAATTCAAGAATTATGTGGATTAAAGTAAAGGTTGGATGCGAGAAGTGGGTCATAATAAGCGTGTATGCACCTGGAGAAGAGAGGAATGCAGAGGAGAGAGAGAGATTTTGGGAGATGTTAAGTGAATGTATAGGAGCCCTTGAACCAAGTGAGAGAGTAATTGTGGTAGGGGACTTGAATGCTAAAGTAGGAGAAACTTTTAGAGAGGGTGTGGTAGGTAAGTTTGGGGTGCCAGGTGTAAATGATAATGGGAGCCCTTTGATTGAACTTTGTATAGAAAGGGGTTTAGTTATAGGTAATACATATTTTAAGAAAAAGAGGATAAATAAGTATACACGATATGATGTAGGGCGAAATGACAGTAGTTTGTTGGATTATGTATTGGTAGATAAAAGACTGTTGAGTAGACTTCAGGATGTACATGTTTATAGAGGGGCCACAGATATATCAGATCACTTTCTAGTTGTAGCTACACTGAGAGTAAAAGGTAGATGGGATACAAGGAGAATAGAAGCATCAGGGAAGAGAGAGGTGAAGGTTTATAAACTAAAAGAGGAGGCAGTTAGGGTAAGATATAAACAGCTATTGGAGGATAGATGGGCTAATGAGAGCATAGGCAATGGGGTCGAAGAGGTATGGGGTAGGTTTAAAAATGTAGTGTTAGAGTGTTCAGCAGAAGTTTGTGGTTACAGGAAAGTGGTGCAGGAGGGAAGAGGAGCGATTGGTGGAATGATGATGTAAAGAGAGTAGTAAGGGAGAAAAAGTTAGCATATGAGAAGTTTTACAAAGTAGAAGTGATGCAAGGAGGGAAGAGTATATGGAGAAAAAGAGAGAGGTTAAGAGAGTGGTGAAGCAATGTAAAAAGAGAGCAAATGAGAGAGTGGGTGAGATGTTATCAACAAATTTTGTTGAAAATAAGAAAAAGTTTTGGAGTGAGATTAACAAGTTAAGAAAGCCTAGAGAACAAATTGATTTGTCAGTTAAAAATAGGAGAGGAGAGTTATTAAATGGAGAGTTAGAGGTATTGGGAAGATGGAAGGAATATTTTGAGGAATTGTTAAATGTTGATGAAGATAGGGAAGCTGTGATTTCGTGTATAGGGCAAGGAGGAATAACATCTTGTAGGAGTGAGGAAGAGCCAGTTGTGAGTGTGGGGGAAGTTCGTGAGGCAGTAGGTAAAATGAAAGGGGGTAAGGCAGCCGGGATTGATGGGATATAAAGATAGAAATGTTAAAAGCAGGTGGGGATATAGTTTTGGAGTGGTTGGTGCAATTATTTAATAAATGTATGGAAGAGGGTAAGGTACCTAGGGATTGGCAGAGAGCATGCATAGTTCCTTTGTATAAAGGCAAAGGGGATAAAAGAGAGTGCAAAAATATAGGGGGATAAGTCTGTTGAGTGTACCTGGTAAAGTGTATGGTAGAGTTATAATTGAAAGAATTAAGAGTAAGACGGAGAATAGGATAGCAGATGAACAAGGAGGCTTTAGGAAAGGTAGGGGGTGTGTGTGGACCAGGTGTTTACAGTGAAACATATAAGTGAACAGTATTTAGATAAGGCTAAAGAGGTCTTTGTGGCATTTATGGATTTGGAAAAAGGCGTTTTGACAGGGTGGATAGGGGGGCAATGTGGCAGATGTTGCAAGTGTATGGTGTAGGAGGTAGGTTACTGAAAGCAGTGAAGAGTTTTTACGAGGATAGTGAGGCTCAAGTTAGAGTATGTAGGAAAGAGGGAAATTTTTCCCAGTAAAAGTAGGCCTTAGACAAGGATGTGTGATGTCACCGTGGTTGTTTAATATATTTATAGATGGGGTTGTAAGAGAAGTAAATGCGAGGGTCTTGGCAAGAGGCGTGGAGTTAAAAGATAAAGAATCACACACAAAGTGGGAGTTGTCACAGCTGCTCTTTGCTGATGACACTGTGCTCTTGGGAGATTCTGAAGAGAAGTTGCAGAGATTGGTGGATGAATTTGGTAGGGTGTGCAAAAGAAGAAAAATTAAAGGTGAATACAGGAAAGAGTAAGGTTATGAGGATAACAAAAAGATTAGGTGATGAAAGATTGAATATCAGATTGGAGGGAGAGAGTATGGAGGAGGTGAACGTATTCAGATATTTGGGAGTGGACGTGTCAGCGGATGGGTCTATGAAAGATGAGGTGAATCATAGAATTGATGAGGGAAAAAGAGTGAGTGGTGCACTTAGGAGTCTGTGGAGACAAAGAACTTTGTCCTTGGAGGCAAAGAGGGGAATGTATGAGAGTATAGTTTTACCAACGCTCTTATATGGGTGTGAAGCGTGGGTGATGAATGTTGCAGCGAGGAGAAGGCTGGAGGCAGTGGAGATGTCATGTCTGAGGGCAATGTGTGGTGTGAATATAATGCGGGAGAATTCGTAGTTTGGAAGTTAGGAGGAGGTGCGGGATTACCAAAACTGTTGTCCAGAGGGCTGAGGAAGGGTTGTTGAGGTGGTTCGGACATGTAGAGAGAATGGAGCGAAACAGAATGACTTCAAGAGTGTATCAGTCTGTAGTGGAAGGAAGGCGGGGTAGGGGTCGGCCTAGGAAGGGTTGGAGGGAGGGGGTAAAGGAGGTTTTGTGTGCGAGGGGCTTGGACTTCCAGCAGGCATGCGTGAGCGTGTTTGATAGGAGTGAATGGAGACAAATGGTTTTTAATACTTGACGTGCTGTTGGAGTGTGAGCAAAGTAACATTTATGAAGGGATTCAGGGAAACCGGCAGGCCGGACTTGAGTTCTGGAGATGGGAAGTACAGTGCCTGCACTCTGAAGGAGGGGTGTTAATGTTGCAGTTTAAAAACTGTAGTGTAAAGCACCCTTCTGGCAAGACAGTGATGGAGTGAATGATGGTGAAAGTTTTTCTTTTCGGGCACCCTGCCTTGGTGGGAATCGGCCGGTGTGATAATAAAAAAAAAAAAAAAAAAATAATATATATATATATATATATATATATATATATAATATATATATATATATATATGTGTGTGTGTGTGTGTGTGCATACAAGAAGAACGTGAACAAAAGAAACGAAAAATAAAAGTAAGATAGATAATTAGGAAGACACTTGACAATTTACACAAATTACATTAAGGCAGGTAATTATCGCCTCGGGCAGATAATGTCGCTCTTTGTAAGTGAAGAGTCGTGTGTTGACATGGCAGGCAGTCAGGTTTGATCCAAGTGAGGGGAAAGAAGCTCCAAATCCTTGAATCAAAAGTCATTCACAAGCAACTAGACACACCCTTCGACGGATCAGAATAATAATAGATCAGGCCAGTTACTTAGAGAATACAGTAGGTTACCGAGAGACAATGCAGCAGGTCAGTTACTTAGAGCGCTGAAGATACACATGGCAGCAAAGCACAACAGCAGGAGGCCCACCATCACTCCAAAGAGGTACAGAAACATTCTGTTCACCTTCTTGGCCTTCAGACTGACTGGAATATTTCCATTGTAATCTTTCCTACCCATAAAAGAACTGGAAGCTCCCGCAGTGCCACCAGCAACTCTTGTACTTGCCGGGACTTTGTTGGGAACCTTCTTGTTACGAGAGTCCTCTCTGCCTCTCCGGCATAACCCCTCTTTATCCACTACTTCTTTGGTTTTCCCATCAAGGCTAGGGTATCCATACCAAGCCATGGCGTTCTTCTGAGACCTGGATACTACCGGCACCACCAGTGACACTCCCTTCAACGTCTCCTCCTCCTCCTGAGACCGCAAGCGGAGGACTTCGATGTACACAAGAGCGACCATGATGACGAAGTCTTTGGCGATGAGGACGATGAACCACACGTCGATGAGCTTCAGGTAAGAGGTCTTGGGTATGCTCTGACTGGTCTGTGTGAAGAAGGTGGCCAGCACCAGCAGTGATGTTAACGACACCATGATGCGATCCTGTCAAGGGCAATAATACAGAGTGGGCAATTTATTTCCTGATATTATGAAATGCAATAATCTTAAGGTTACAAATACTGTAATAATTTATGTTCTAGTTTTGAGCGTGAGAGATATCAACAATATAAATTTTTAAATAATAATAATAATAATAATAATAATTATTATTATTATTATTATTATTATTATTATTATTATTATTATTATTATTATTATTATTATTATTATTATAAAATTAATAAAAATCATTAATCATCATAAATAATAATTAATCAAAGTGGGAATCTTATTAGATAAAAAATAGACAACACACACACACACACACACACACACACACACACACACACACACACACACACACACACACACACACACACACACACACACACACACACACACACCACACCACACCACACACACACACACTAACACTGCTCTTGTACTCAGTAATTACTAATTACAAGCGGTTTAATTACAAAATTGGTGATTACAAAGGGACAACTAGTGAGAGGCAGGCGCCCACCCACCTGGAAGTCAGAGATGTGAAAGAAGAAGCACAGCCAGCATATGATCACCAGCAGGATGCAAGGGAGGAAGGTGTTCCCTATATAGTAGCCATACTGGTTCCTGAAGTAGAGCTCAACCTGTAAGTGATAACACTTAAAAGAACACACTATGGCATGCTTGTCACAGCTGCTGAACCATTATGACAGAATTACGGAGGCACTGGAAGACGACCAAAACGCAGATGTGATTTACACAGATTTTTCAAAGGCATTTGACAAATGTGATCATGGAATGATAGCGCACAAAATGCAGGCCATGGGCATGACGGGGAAGGTAGGCAGATGGATTTTCGGGTTCCTAACACACAGAACACAAAAAAATAGCAGTAAAAACAGATCGAGATCCAGCATCAGCGAGGTCAAAAGCTCAGTGCCCCAAGGCACTGTCCTGGCACCTCTGCTGTTTCTCATCCTCATAGCAGACATAGATATAAACACCTGGCACACTTTTGTATCATCATTTACAGATGACACTAAAATAAGAATGAAAGTCAGTACGGTAGAGGACACTGAAAAAGTACAAGAAGACATAAGCAGGGTTTTCCAGTGGGCAGTGGAGAACAACATGACGTTTAGTGGTGATAAGTTCCAGCTGCTTAGGTATGGAAAGAATGAAGAACTTAAAAGGAACACTATATACAAAATTCAAGAGGGTCACCAAATAGAACGTAAGGAACACGTAAAAGACCTGGGAATAATTATGTCAGCGGACCTTTCTTTTAAAGACCATAACAAGACAAAGATCACGACAGCCAGGAAGATGACTGGGTGGGTATTGAGAACTTTCAAAACAAGGGAAACAATGCCGATGGTGACACTCTTCAAATTACTAGTGCTCCCTCACTTAGAATATTGCTCAGTGCTGACGACCCCGTCCAAAGCAGGAGAAATATCGGAGCTGGAACAAATACAGAGATCGTTTACTGCTCACACTGAGCCAGTAAAGTACCTAAACTACTGGGAACGCCTGCAAGTCTTGAACATGTACTCACTGGAGCAGAGGAGAGAGAGATGCATGATAACATATACCTGGAAAGTACTCGAGGGCTTGGTCCCAAATCTGCACACTGCCATAACAACATGTTGGAGTGAGAGATATGGGAGGAAGTGTAAAATAAACCCAGTGAGGAGCAGGGGTGCGGTGGGGACAACAAGGGAACACTGTATCAACATCCGGGGTCCCAGACTATTCAACATCTTACCAGAAGATATCAGAAACACGGCTGGAACAAGTGTAGAAGCCTTGAAAAGGAAACTGAACAAATATCTTCACCAGGTGCCAGATCAACCAGGCTGTGATTGATATGTGGAGCAGTGGGCCTCCAGCAGCAACAGCCTGGTTGGCCAGGCAAGCACCAGACGAGCCTGGCCTATGGCCGGGCTCAGAGAGTAGAGAAACTCTCGAAACTCTTCAAAGGTATATCAAAGGTAAGGTAAAGGTACGGTATGCAAAAAGTACATTACAATTTATTCGGTGTACGTACGTGCACACTTCCATATGGGCTGCCTCCCAACCAGCGAACCAGGTGCTAAGGGTTTAACGATTATTAAGGTACCCGTCGTTAAATCAGTACCTTGGTTCATTATCCAATCACAGGCAAGCTCGTCAAGTGCTGAGGCGATATGGTTCAGTGGTTTACTTGCGGTCAGCCTTTGCCAGACGCCTGCCAGCTGGTTTTTGCTTTTGCCATTCTGTCACCGTGACATATATACATGTATATACCTGGCAAATTATACCTGATAAAGGAAATACTGTACAAGTTATAGTCTATCTGCTGAGTTTGTTTTGCTTCAAATTACGACCAGGTCACAGGACATTTATTACCTGTGTATGTAATACACAGTGTGAGTTAGCCAGTTCTTGAAGAAGAGCCTTACCTGCAAGTAAGATATGAGACTTGCACGGTAAGTCTGTTATCTGAAGTGTTAGTTGTAAATAACAACAGCCAGACTTGTAAATGAACACTCTGATTACAAAGACAGTCATGTGAATTATGAGAGAGAGAAAGAGAGTGAGAGAGAGAGAGAGAGAGAGAGAGAGAGAGAAGAGAGAGAGAGAGAGAGAGAGGAGAGAGAGAGAGAGAGAGAGAGAGAGAGAGAGAGAGAGAACTGTAATGTAAGTTACCCTGACCTCCACGTAGCTAACTTCACTTAGAGTATAGTAAGAACACTTCTCCGAGACGAGGCTGTATTCCAGCAACTGGCGTGTGCCCAGGAAATGTACTCCGGTCCCGTCCTGCAAGCAAATACATATATGGAAGAAGCAGGAAATAACACTTGTTTTTGTCGACACGAAAGTTGTTTATCAGAAACGTAAAGCTGCAGTCGTTTTAAAATCTAAAAAAAAAAAATCACACTGCTTGGCTAGGTAAAAATGGGTTTTGAAGTCACTCTTATCGCTGTAGATATCATAAAGCAGCACTCGGGCGCTTGATCTATGCTCTACCACGCATATCGTCTAGACAGGAAATTCGTAACGTATTAAAACTGATAAGAGTAGGCCTATTCAACTCCAAAAAAAACTATAAATCTTGCCTATTTTATTATTATCATTATTATTATTATTATTATTATTATTATTATTATTATTATTATTATAGATTATTCATTACAAAGATTATTCATTATGACATCTGATATATTAAATAGGGATAATCTTAACAACGTTTCGACAGGTTAATAAATAAGACACTTTCGCAATATTTGGGTATCTTTATTCTGGAAATATTTCACCACACAGTGACTTCTTCAGTCCAATGCAGAAAGGGGAGGACTTTGAGGTAATCAGTCCCTCAGGCTCAGTCCCACAGCCTGAGGCTGAGTGACTGAGGAACACCATGAACCCGCCTGTGATCTATTTTACAGTTACAGGAACGTCTTGAACCGGCCAGCATCTTGAATGCCACCTGGTGGCAAAAGCTCTCACTTCACACGCTGAGGGTTCGGGTTCGATTCCCGGCGAGGGTAGAGACATTGAGCGTGTTTCCTTACACCTATTATCCATGGTCACCATCATTAAAATAAGTACCTGGGTGTTAGTCGACCGGTGTGGGTCGCATCCTGGGGAACAAAACTGACCTAATTTGCGGGAAATGCTCAGCATAACAAGAGGCTTTCTATATAGTAGTATGTCATTGATGTCAACTATGATCTGTATACCTTGTACATATACTTGTAGAAATAAATTTATTATTATTATTATTATTATTATTATTACTATTATTGTTATTATTATTATTATCATTATTATTGTTATTATCTTACAGTTACAGGAACGCCTTAAAATGCAACTAATCCCATTACTTTCACAAAAACGCTAAGGATCCTCCAGCAATCCAACTCACCTTCACAAGAACGCCGAGATCCTTGGAGACGTCTTGCAAGCGGTAAATAATGGAACAATGTTGCTTGTCGAACGGATAAAGCTGGAGTCTGAAGTGGCACTTGAAGGTTAAACTCGATTCCTCGTGATGAATCAACACATTCTCCCCCCCGCTGTATACAGTGTCTGAACGAAGCATCATTGTCACTAACTTTATTATTATTGTTGGTAGTAATAGTGATGGAAGTCATATTTTTAGTATAGTATTATTATTGTTATTCTTGGTAGTGTTAATCTACTAACCTTCGCGAATTATGTGGTCATCGTCTGGTAGAGGTCGTGAGGTCCTGTTAATGAAGACTGCCTCCGTCTGTATCTGCTGCTGCGCGACGCTGTGCGTGCCGTCTGCGATAGCCAGCGTCGGCGTCCACACATCCTTCACCTCCTTCACCTTGTTAGCCCGGAAGTTCTGCTGAAGGTTGTTAAACTTGAGTCTGCGATCTTTCCATTTGAGTTCGAGGGTGGAGTCGATGCTGATAGTGAAGGAGGCGAGATTGAACTCCCTGACTGAGGTGATGTTGAGGGAGAAGAGGATAGGGACGGGGCTGGAGAGGAGTGTTGGGGGAGGCAGGGATGGAGAGTAGCCCACAGGGACCTGGACGACGTTACAATTCATCTCGTCGCTCTGGTCGCCACAGTCAATGCTGAGGTCACAACGACTGGTCTTGGAGATACAAGTGCCGTCGTCACACGTGTACTCGTCGCTGCTGCAGGAGGTGAGAAGCAGCTGCACCTGTTGATGACATCAATGGCATCTGTGGCCGCAGTGATCGTCATAACGTTAACAATAAGTTATCAACGGTCAATGTAACAAGATAAAACTATCAACATGTTCCTCTTTAAGCGCACTCTTTATTTTGTTAATTAAAATCAAGGCATTAAAATTGTACCTGAATAAATATTGTGCAATACACTTACAAACAGGCGATGTTAACAATGAAAATCTTTAGCCTAGATCTTTCGCACTTTCGTGCGTCATCAGAAGCTATGCAGTGTTGCAAGACAGCAACAGATAGGAAGGGAAATTCTTTGAAGCAAGGCAGAAGGTATCAGTGGCAGCCTTTGTCACAGACTTAGACTGCTTTCCCTCAGAGAATTTCCCCTCCTATCTGTTGCTGTCTTGCAACATTACATAGCTCCTGATGACGCACGAGAGTGCGAAAGATCTAGAGCCAAAGAATTTCATCCGCATGTAGCTTGTTTTGCACGTAATGCTGTACATTATTATTGCTCTTATTATATTCATGAAAACTGCTAAATCAGTATAGGTCCCTGAGCAGACAGTGACGCACGCTGTAAGGGGCCTTTGATGCTAGTAAAGGCTTCTTGTGATAAGGAATTGATATCACCCTTCCCTTCTTCAAATCATGTCTCATTATCTCTCATTTCCAAGTACTTATGACTCTTACAGATTAAACGTTATCCCACGAACACAGTAACATGAAGGAGGTGACATATCAGATGCCCATGGGTTGAAAGTCTGATTAATTTAGTAGTCACTAACCTCGTGCTTACATTATTGTCGTCATGGCCAGAAAAGTAATAGCTAAAGGGGGTGTAACAAGATGCGGCAGGACTCACCTCCTCTTGCAAGCACCTGTCGCCGTGCACTCTCCAGGTGTGAACTCCCACAGGGTATTCACCTTTCCACCGGGAGAGCATAACAGCCGAGACTTCATCGTACACTCTGCTCCTCATAACCCATGAGCCGTTCTCTTTGCGAATCATTATATGCTTCATCCCATCTAAGATAAGCTCGAAGTTCTCGTTGTCACGAAAGGAGAAGCTGCGATCTAAAGTCGAGTCCTCACAGAGTCCTCGCAGCCTCATCGTAGGATAGCTGGTAAAGTTACATACGATGCAAGTTTCTATATCACATGGGCACGCAGCCCATTGGTAAGGCCTGTGCGTCACAGCGGCTATGCACTGGAACTCCGGCGAGACTGTTGTATATTCTTTGATGAAGGGATGCCACGTTACTGGAGTCTTGTCTGAGAGTTTGAGCCACTGCTGGGTCGTTAGGTTTCCCTTGGAGCCCATCCAAAAGAGATGCGTCCAGATGTTGTGGCACTGTTCCTTGTAACTCACGAACTTGTCGAAGAAGTAAGCGTTAGTCTGGTTGTCCTCGGGGAGGATGAGGCTTCCATGCAGCTTACTACACCAGGAGTACGCGTGCTGGAAAATCGTCTTCTCGGAGAAGAAAAGATAGAACCCGGTAATGTGACCAGAGCAGATCTCTCCCAAGGACATGTTGCGCATCGTGGTAGGTCCCCTCGCCTTCAGCGCCCCGTTTTCTAGATTTATCAACGGCTGTTTCAGCTCGGGTACGTCTCTACAGTTTAGCAGTTCAACTATCTGTGAGTGTTCCAAAGCGATGTCGTAAATCCTGTAGTCGCCGACTTCACCATCTAGGGTCTCCTGTATGATAAAGTCGCCCTGCAGAGAGTACAGCTTCTGGCCGACGACTAAACGACCTCCTCCACGAATCTTCAGTTGTTCCACACCTCCATGTTCTGACTTGGACGGCTCCAGGTGTATAAGGTAGTCCTACAAGCCATTAGAACAATATCTTGTGTAAGTATAGCATTGGGATTCGAACCTGACTGATTTACTGAAACCCAGCTGACCTGCAGGAGCCCTTATGATATACTGGAACCCTACTTCTCTACTGGAGCCTGACTGACCTATTCGAGCCCTGATGATCAATACATATTCATGTGTAATTTTTGATGAGCGTAACAACTAAAATAAATAACTCGTGTTAAGCGCTAAACCCACGTGGGCCACTCAGCTCAAAACGTGGTGGAGGCTCGATCCTCCGTCTGCTGAGCACCAAACAGACGCCCTTCTTATTGTACTAACATGGATGTGAGAGCAACAAAAAGTTTAGGAAATAAAAAGGGAGAGAGTATTAAATGAATGTATTTAGATATTTGGGAGTGGACACGTCAGCAGATAAATCTGAGAGACGAGGTGAAGCAAGAAACAGATAAGGGGAGAAAAGAGGATAGGTGGTGTTTTTAGGTATCTGAGGGAAAATGGAATTGTATCTCTATAGTGTGGTCATAGCAAGTAGCAAATCCATCAAGGTCCTCCCCAGAACCATCAGTTTACATAATCCCTGGTGGAGGCTGTGATGTGGTGTACGTCGGGGAAACAACACCAAGCCTGTATTAACGCGGGTAGAATTACCAACAGTAAGTTAGGTAAAAGGACACAAGTGCAAAGTTAGGAATTACTACTAGCAGCATAGGCCAGTAGGCCTAATACAGTGTTTGTGTTATACCTCACCCTGATATCTTTACCATTGTGCCCTTGTAATATGTGTTGCACCTACATTTTCGCTCCTGGAGAGCCAAAAATATGTGCAGTGTCTCATTAGTTACTGAACATATCACCAGTAATTCTACCAATATTGTTACACACATTTGTCTTAATATTGGAGGCTGAGAACAAAACGAGGATGGGGAGGGGGGGTGGAATGCCATATTCTTATAGATCAAAGGGATGGTAATGCCTTGTTTCTCAATAGTAATATGGACATTTCTAATTGCTAAATTTTTAGTTACATGACGACCCACTCAGTTAAGAGAGAGATTCTGCTGGAAGGAAGGATAGAGATTCTGCTGGAAAGAAGGCTACAGATTCTGCTGGAAGGAAGGATAGAGATTCTGCTGGAAAGAAGGCTACAGATTCTGCTGGAAGGAAGGATAGAGATTCTGTAGATGAATGGTTCAGAGAACCGACATGTTGATAAATTAGACACATGTGCAACTCTTGGGTATCTTTATTGAGGAAACGTTATTCTATTCAAGATTGATGGACTGAACACATCGACTCAAGGTTGAGGGACTGATTACCTCATTCTCCTCCTGTTCTTCAAGTTTCTCCTACGTATGGACTGATGAAGCCACTGTGTGGCGAAACGTTTCCTCAATAAAGATACCCAAGAGTTGCACATGTGTCTAATTTATCGATAGAGATTCTGCTGGAAGGAAGGTTATAGATTCTGCTGGAAGGAAGGCTAGATATTCTGCTGGAAGGAAGCTAGAGATTCTGCTGGAAGGAAGGCTACAGATTCTGATGGAAGGAAGGCTACAGATTCTGCTGGAAGGAAGGCTACAGATTCTGATGGAAGGAAGGCTACAGATTCTGTTGGAAGGAAGGCTGGAGATTCTGCTGGAAGGAAGGCTGGAGATTCTGCTGGAAGGAAGGCTGGAGATTCTGCTGGAAGGAAGGCTAGAAATTCTGCTGGAAGGAAGGAAGGCTAGAAATTCTGCTGGAAGCTAGAAATTCTGCTGAAAGGAAAGCTAGAGATTCTGCTGGAAGGATGCTAGAGATTCTGGTAGAAGGAAGGCTATAGATTCTGCTGGAAGGAAGGCTACAGATTCTGCTGGAAGGAAGGCTACAGATTCTGCTGGAAGGAAGCTAAAGACTCCAGGATGCCGCCAGTTATATACCTCATTAACACATTCAGATGTAAAAGAAAATTACTCATGAACTAAACTATTTTCCCATTAAAAAAGGAAGGTTAACTCTGCATGGATCATACATTTAAAAGTTTAAACACCTGTCTGTAAAAAGAAATGTCTGTACACATCATTTGCGTTTTGTTACACACTAACTGGAAAAAACACTACATACATGAGTGAAGCTGATAGGAGGTGGAAAATACGGTGGAGATAAGATCACTCAGATTAAGTTTGTCTTATCAACTCAACGAGGCAAACCTCGTGAGATAAAAATAATATCACATGCCAAGGTTCAAATCTTCAAATCTTGAGCTTTGTTAAAAATAGGAAGACTGAGCTGATGTTTAAGAGAGAAAGTCACTTGAGAAAAAGAGAGAATACCTACCAGATCATCGTAGATCACTCGCAAGAGACCAGCCTCCAGGTCTAGAGAGACGGAGATATGTTGCCAGACGAACATTTTCCTGTTGAACCTGAGTGACTGGGACACACGACCATCACAGCAATAGAAATGCATCATTTTCTTTTTGGTCACCAACTCTGTGGAGGAGGAGAAGTAAGAGGAGTAAGAGGAGAAGTAAGAGGAGTAAGAGGAGAAGTAAGAGGAGTAAGAGGAGAAGGAAATAAAGGCGCAGGTAAAAGAGAAGTCTCTACCAGTTTCTTTCTTGCCACTCGTCGGCTTTTGTCATTGTTTACTATGGAGGAGCGGAGTAATGTGAAGGCCAGCGCATATAATTATTGCAATAGTAATATGTTTTTATATACTGTAATGGTGTTTCTCTCTCTCTCTCTCTCTCTCTCTCTCTCTCTCTCCATCTCTCCTCTCTCTCTCTCTCTCTCTCTCTCTCTCTCTCTCTCTCTCTCTCTCCTCTCCCCTCTCTCTCTCTCTCTCCTCTCTCTCTCTCTCTCTCTCTCTCAATTCAGAACTGCTTCTTAATCACTTTTTCTCCGGCAGGAGGGGATAAAGGGGCAGGGGAGAGAGACCCAAGATAATCACAATTTGTACATCATCTACTCGAGTACAGTACTTCATACGACAATCGTTCGCCTCCTCCCTCCCCTCCGGGGGTTCACCTGCCAACCCCCCGGGGGTTCACCTCCCTTCCCCCTTCAGGATTCAACCTCCACCAGAGTTCAAGCATAATCTAGGCTCGTATCAAGGCTCTCCACCACTGCTGATATGGTAAAATACGCTACTGGCTCTGTGCTCAGGGAGTCTCCCTACCATGACGATTAGTAACTACTACTACTGCTGCTGCTGTCTGTTGTTACTGCTGCTGCTGTCTGTTGCTACTGCTGCTGCTGCTGTCTGTTGCTACTGCTGCTGCTGCTGTCTGTTGCTACTGCTACTGCTGCTGTCTGTTGCTACTGCTGCTGCTGCTGTCTGTTGCTACTGCTGCTGCTGCTGTCTGTTGCTACTGCTGCTGCTGCTGTCTGTTGCTACTGCTACTGCTGCTGTCTGTTGCTACTGCTGCTGCTGCTGTCTGTTGCTACTGCTGCTGCTGCTGTCTGTTGCTACTGCTGCTGCTGCTGTCTGTTGCTACTGCTACTGCCTGTTGCTACTGCTACTGCTGCTGTCTGTTGCTACTGCTGCTGCTGTCTGTTGCTACTGCTGCTGCTGTCTGTTGCTACTGCTGCTGCTGTCTGTTGCTACTGCTGCTGCTGTCTGTTGCTACTGCTGCTGCTGTCTGTTGCTACTGCTGCTGCTGTCTGTTGCTACTGCTGCTGCTGCTGTCTGTTGCTACTGCTGCTGCTGTCTGTTGCTACTGCTGCTGCTATCTGTTGCTACTGCTGCTGCTGTCTGTTGCTACTGCTGCTGCTGTCTGTTACTACTGCTGCTGCTGTCTGTTGCTACTGCTGCTGCTGTCTGTTACTACTGCTGCTGCTGTCTGTTGCTACTGCTGCTGCTGTCTGTTACTACTGCTGCAGCTGCTGCTACTTTTGTTGTTGCCACTGCTGCTGCTACTACTACAGCTGTTGCTACTGTTGCTGTTGTTGCTGTTGCCATTATTTCTGTTGTAGGATAACTTGATAAAGAAAACACTTTCACTGTCACTCGTTCAATCTTTGTCTTACAAGAAGCATGCTGAAGATACAGAAGAAGTGACTCCTCAGACCTGCAAGATTCCCACCCCTCCTTCAGGGTGCAGGCGCTGTGCTTTTCACCTCCAGGATTCAAGTGCGGATAACCGGTGTCCCTGAATCCCTTTCATGAATGTTACCTTTCTCACACTCCAACAGCACGTCAAATCCTGAAAAACGCCTTCCCCCGACTCACTCCTGTCTAATATGCTCACACAAGCCTGTTGGATGTCAAAGTCCCCAGCACTCAAAACTTCCTTTTACCCCCATTGCTAGGACGACCCCTAGGACGCCCTTCTTAGGACGACTGCTAGGAAGCCATTCCTAGCGTGACCCCCAGGACGTCTTTCCTACAATGACCCCTAGGATGTCCTTCCTAGCATGACCCCTAGGACTTCCTTCTAACATGACTCCTAGGACGTCCTTCCTAGCATAATCCCTACTCCTCCTGCTTTCCACTCCAAATTTATAAATCTATTTTTCTCCATCCGTTCTAAATGTCCAAACTAATCCAACAAACCCTCCTCAGCCCTTTAAATAATAGTCGCTGCAGCTCCACACCTCCCAGTCTCCGGTCCCCAAATTCTCTGCATAATAGCCACCCCGCCACCCCGCCACCCCGCACACACACTGTCCTCACATACATCCCCCACTGCCACTAGCCTCTTCCTCGCTGCAACATTAAAAACCCATGCTTCATAACCATACTATAAATATATATATATATATATATATATATATATATATATATATATATATATATATATATATATATATATATATATATATATATATATATATATATATATATATATATATGTGTGTGTGTGTGTGTGTGTGTGTGTGTTTTCCTTGTTTACACGCTCTTATCGGTTGGTACTTGATATTATTATTTATAAATTAAGTTGTAATCTACTCACCAAAAAATATTTCTTCGTTATTGCCTGGGACAGCGTAGGTGAGTAGCGGGATGTGGGAGGTGACTCTCCGTAGGCGCAGGTGAAATACCAGCGTCACCTGCCCAAAACCAGAAAACTAATTATAATTCAAGGGGAAGTTGTTTGTCACCTAAAGTACTTATCACCTGGTGTTATCTGCACCTAGTTACTGGCTCAGGTGAAGTACCTGTCACCAGGTGTTATCTGCACCTAGTTACTGGCTCAGGTGAAGTACCTGTCACCAGGTGTTATCTGCACCTAGTTACTGGCTCAGGTGAAGTACCTGTCACCAGGTGTTATCTGCACCTAGTTACTGGCTCAGGTGAAGTACCTGTCACCAGGTGTTATCTGCACCTAGTTACTGGCTCAGGTGAAGTACCTGTCACCAGATGTTATCTGCACCTGGTTACTGGCTCAGGTGAAGTACCTGTCACCAGGTGTTATCTGCACCTAGTTACTGGCTCAGGTGAAGTACCTGTCACCAGGTGTTATCTGCACCTAGTTACTGGCTCAGGTGAAGTACCTGTCACCAGATGTTATCTGCACCTGGTTACTGGCTCAGGTGAAGTACCTGTCACCAGGTGTTATCTGCACCTGGTTACTGGCTCAGGTGAAGTACCTGTCACCAGGTGTTATCTGCACCTAGTTACTGGCTCAGGTGAAGTACCTGTCACCAGGTGTTATCTGCACCTAGTTACTGGCTCAGGTGAAGTACCTGTCACCAGATGTTATCTGCACCTGGTTACTGGCTCAGGTGAAGTACCTGTCACCAGGTGTTATCTGCACCTAGTTACTGGCTCAGGTGAAGTACCTGTCACCAGGTGTTATCTGCACCTAGTTACTGGCTCAGGTGAAGTACCTGTCACCAGATGTTATCTGCACCTGGTTACTGGCTCAGGTGAAGTACCTGTCACCAGGTGTTATCTGCACCTGGTTACTGGCTCAGGTGAAGTACCTGTCACCAGGTGTTATCTGCACCTGGTTACTGGCTCAGGTGAAGTACCTGTCACCAGATGTTATCTGCACCTGGTTACTGGCTCAGGTGAAGTACCTGTCACCAGATGTTATCTGCACCTGGTTACTGGCTCAGGTGAAGTACCTGTCACCAGATGTTATCTGCACCTAGTTACTGGCTCAGGTGAAGTACCTGTCACCAGGTGTTATCTGCACCTGGTTACTGGCTCAGGTGAAGTACCTGTCACCAGGTGTTATCTGCACCTAGTTACTGGCTCAGGTGAAGTACCTGTCACCAGGTGTTATCTGCACCTAGTTACTGGCTCAGGTGAAGTACCTGTCACCAGGTGTTATCTGCACCTAGTTACTGGCTCAGGTGAAGTACCTGTCACCAGGTGTTATCTGCACCTAGTTACTGGCTCAGGTGAAGTACCTGTCACCAGGTGTTATCTGCACCTAGTTACTGGCTCAGGTGAAGTACCTGTCACCAGGTGTTATCTGCACCTAGTTACTGGCTCAGGTGAAGTACCTGTCACCAGGTGTTATCTGCACCTAGTTACTGGCTCAGGTGAAGCACCTGTGACTGTGACAAGTTTAATGGCCCTTAGTTACTGAAGGGCTCTTGATCAGAGGAAGTTGATCTGTCTTTCCCTCCTGCATGCTCTTGATGACCCTGACAGGTTTAGAGCATCCCCCGATTATGATGATAATTATAATAACAATAAGAAGAAGAATTTTAATAATAATTATAATTATAAAAAATAATAATAATAATAAAATATAAAATAATAATAATATTGTTATGAAATAATAATAATTATTATTATTATAATAATTATTATTATTATAATTATAATAATAATTATGATTATAATCATAATAATAATTATAAAATAATAATAATAATTCACAAGAAAATTCTAATTATATTATAATATTCGTTGGGAAGCAATAAACCCGTAAGGGATCATGCCATGCAAAACATAAGAACATAAGAACGAAGGAGCACTGCAGCAGGCCTACTGGCCCATGCGAGGCAGGTCCAAGTCTCCTACCGTTTTAATCCAATGCCCCAACCTAGTCAGGTCAGGTCACATTCACTTAAGGAACACGGCAACTGACCTAGTAGCACAAGCTAGTCAGGTCCAACTCACACCCACCCACACCCACTCATATATTTATCTAACCTATTTTTGAAACTACACAACGTTTTAGCCTCTATAACTGTACTCGGGAGTTTGTTCCACTCATCCACAACTCTATTACCAAACCAGTACTTTCCTATATCCTTCCTGAATCTGAATTTTTCCAACTTAAAACCATTGCTACGAGTTCTGTCTAGGATAGATATTTTCAGCACGCTATTTACATCCCCTTTATTTATTCCTGTCTTCCATTTATGCACCTCAATCATATCCCCCCTAATTCTACGTCTTTCTAGAGAGTGCAGTTTCAGGGCCCTTAGTCTATCCTCATAGGGAAGGTTTCTGATACATGGGATCAACTTTGTCATCCTCCTTTGTACATTTTCCAGAGAATTTATATCCATTCTGTAATACGGTGACC